ACCTCTTTGTTATGTTNGGCTTTTTTTCAAGATATCAACATAATTAGAATGTAACAAACCATGTACTCCATCGTCTGAAAGGAAAAAATATTTGGTCGGCCAAAGAGTAAGACCTTCAATCAAAAGGCTTAAGAAAAACGTTGAGTTCGTGGTCTAATATCTTACTATAAATTAGGGCCCTTAACTTCCTATGGGAAAGCCATGACAAGTCGAACGAAAGGTAGAATGATTCAATCTTACGGTTAATCATAGTAAACAATGGCAAATTCACATATACAGAGAAAGAAACCGATGTCACATAGAGAGACACCAGCGAAATCCTCTCAAATCGTCAAAATGGTGTATAAAAGCATAAGAAATAGTTTGAATTCGATCTGAATCTTAAGAGATTTCTCCTTTAAAGAGGTGATGATCGAATGGTTTGCTTCACAATCAACCTAAGGATCATAGGCTCTTTGCACTAACTCTCTTCGGTTGTGTTTTCTTTAGATTTTCATAACAACTTTTCAAAACCAGCGAAATCCTCTCAAATCGTCGAAATGGTGGATAAAAACATAAGAAATAGTTTGAATTCGATTCGAATCTGAAGAGATTTCTCCTTTGAAGAGGTGATGATCGAATGGTTAGCTTCACAATCAACCTAAGGATCATAGGCTCTTTGCTCTAACACTCTTCGGCTATGTTTTCTTTAGATCTTCGCAACAACTTTTCAAAACACAGTAACATCTATTGTAACTAAGTTTTTGTTTGAATAATACTTTTACATTACTTCAAAGAAAAAAAACCGTGGCATGCACATTAAATATGATTCAGTAAGTTTATTTATCCCCTTGATATCCCATTTATTCGAGGACTAGAGATCAACAATTTTCGTAAGAATTTTAGCAAAAAAAAACAATTTTCATAAGAAGGATCTTTATTGCTTGCACTATTACTAAATGAAGTAGGTATACGTTGAATTCAAGATATTGGGTAGCAATGGATATATTTAAAGGATAAGACAAATATATATCTTTGGTAATTGAATATCAGAGCGTTACAAGCCACCTTCTTTAAGGTGGATGGTTCACATTTTCTTTGGCAAGGCTTTTCTAGATGTGTGGCAGTCAACAAAAAGCTTACAAAGAGAATCGTATGTTATGATATTATGTTTCCAAGATGTGGATGTGAGGTTGAGACGACGGTGAACCATGCTCTCTTTAAATGTTCTTTCCTGAATCAAGGCACAGTGTCAACGTCGTGCCTCCTTTGATGTTAAAGAGACATTCATCTCGGGGCACCGAGTGATTTTGTGTAATTTAGGGTCTCATATTCTAAAGATTAATTATAGTATAATGACAAAAATATGGTAAGAACAAATTTTGAGACTTTCATCCCAAATTCAAAACCACTTTGATACTAAAATAAAAGCTTATTTTTTTTATCTCATTAACTTTTTATTAACACTCGAACAATCATCTGAAATTAAATTATAATTGTGGTTAATAAATCATATGTAAAAAAATTATTTTTAATTTCACCTCAGATTCCTAGAAATCTAGACACGGCACTGCACAATGTAAAAGTACATTCAAAATTGGAAGTATTGTCAGAATCACTTTCCAGACAGAATGCTCAGACCTTTAAAAGATCTTTTCCTCTCCTTCATACTTGCAAGTGCATTTTCTACTTTTTTTGTATATCTTCTCCTCACTTAAGCGTCATTCCTACCACTTTATTAATTTTCATATACACCGATTTCTCCACTGTAATTTACAGGCTAGTGTTTTTGGCTCAAAAAGTTAGGAATCAAGAGTTTTTCGTTTCTTTTGTAGATTCCATATTACCTAATTTGCTTGACGCCACAAGTTTCTAATTCTATTAATAAGAAAAGCAATTCATGTATAAGAAAAAAAAAATTCAAATATTATTTTACATTATGAGGAATGCCATAATTCCTCTCAAATCTTTTTCTACAATGCCATAATCCAAAACCCCTTTCGAAGAATGCTATCATCCAATCTAGAAAGACATTTTTACCCTTAAACCATT